AAACTCCACCTAAACTTGGTTTATATCTGACCCAGATAGACTGCAGGTCATAACTTCTTACCTGAAGTTCAGTTCACCTGACACTCGGACTGGCGGCTGCCTCAGGTCTCTCCTCCTCCTGCCTCCCCTTTCTCTCATCCACCTGCTGGCCTCCACCACTTGCTAATGTTACTGAATCTGAGGAAGCTCCACCACAGCCACCACCAAACAACTGAGTTATTTTTACACACCGGCCAGCATCTGACCAATCCACCACCTCTCATTGTTTACACCGTTACAAAAAAATAAAAGATAAAAAATAAAAATCATCAGGCCACCGAGCAAATGCCCGATGGCCAGTCCAGCTATGGTCGTGCCATCAGTTAACCCTTCGCGTGCCCAGGGTTGCCGACCCCTAATCTACCATGATGGCTAAAAGTTTTGGCAGCGGCACTGGTTTTGGGTTTCATAACTTTACAGTTTCATGTTTCAGAATTTAGTTTTTCACGTTTCTGTTCTAGTGAAGAACAAGTACGAGTATTTCATAAGCTTCAAAGTGGTTTATAGTCAAATAAGTCAAACTTATGCAGGGAGTTGGTGTTTCCAGTGTTGACCCATCTTGATGACAGTCCACTGCAGCCTTAGAAGCCTCACTGGGCTCCTGCTTGCCCACCTGCTTTTTAAAAAGAGGCCATGCTGAAGACTTGAGGCACTGATTAAGCAGACATCACTCAGGATTTGGCCCAGAAGAGAACTACAGAAGAAGAAGGGTCAAAACTGTTAACACTGACTCTTTGCATAAATTTGATTTATTTGCCACTAAAAGTCTTTGAAACTTATGAAACGTTATTCAGTGGTTAAAGTGGGAGCTGTCATGTTGGGGTGGTGCAGCATGAGAACAAGAATTACTTAGACGCTTCATTCATAAACACATCAACAACAACAACAACAACAAAGAAGAGTTGCTCGTTAATGCTGCTCCTGTTCAGTTGTAGGAAACTTAGTATATTCACGTACTTAGAGTGTTTTTCTTTTTAATTTTAATAAACACCAGGTCAACTAGTTCTGCTTCTCCTGTTCCCTGTTCTTCCCGTCCATCTGCCTTTGTTTACTCTCCTGTTCGCTCCGTTTCTTTCATTCTTCATTTCTGAGGAGGTGAAAAGCCAAAGATTTGCTTACACTCTGGAAAGCCAAACATTTTCTCACTGATTCGTCCATTCTAGAAAAAAACGAAAACAAAAATACACCAGCTTCCTCCAAATCCAAATATTATCCTGCTCACTACTCCTCTCAGTTGAAGAACTGTTTAATTTTGTGGAACTTGAATCGTTTTCTCCCAACACTCTCGTTTCTCAAAGGTCAGCAGGGCCACGCACGAGAGATTAACCACTTATTTGAAAGAAAAATATCAAAACGCAAACCTCATTTCTCTCCTTGGGCCCTCCTTCTGTGTTTACACTCGCTTTCTTGTGGTTATACACTCAGACAGGCGTATCTAAACTGAACCCTCCCTAACATAAACATATCCTCATCTTCTCCTTGCACATGCAAACAAACCCACTCACTCTCACCTCCGTCTTCCTCAGATTAAAACCATCCTCAGTGGTTTCATCATCCGGGGCTACCTGGGGAAGTGGACCCTGATCATCAAGACCATCACCCTGGTCTTAGCCGTCTCCTCCGGGCTCAGTTTAGGGAAGGAAGGCCCTCTGGTCCACGTCGCCTGCTGCTGTGCTAATATACTCTGTCACCTGTTCACCAAGTACCGCAAGAATGAGGCCAAGAGGCGAGAGGTAAGCAGGGATGAAGCCGGCTTTGTTGGAGGAGTTGTTGCGGGTTTTTCGGGAAACTTGACAGGAAAGACGATCATCAAGAAAAAACTGTACAAGCAAAATATTGCAATAGCTAAAGACCAATAGTACAAGGCTGTTGACCTTTTACATTTATGCAGATAAATTGATCTGTTACATGAAAGTCCAACTTGGAAATGATATTTTAAACCACACTGGTTAATCATGCAAGTCTTAAATTGGAAGCAGACCTCAAAACAGGAGCTTTTTATATAACCTGGCAACTCACACCTGATAATTTTGGATGGGTAAATGGAATTAAGGAGATCTCTCAATGAGAGAAAAACAATGTGACTGTCCAGAATATCGACTCTCTTTGCACAAATATATTTTTCACATATTCTCTAGTTTAGATTAAATTGATGGAAAAGACAAAGTTTCTGATTGAAGCTTTAAATTTTTCACATAAATGGGAACAGCAGTGCTTGGGCAAGACAGTTGGTACAGTCCCTCCCTTTTTTTCTTGTCTCTACATGTAGGTGTTATCAGCGGCAGCAGCAGTGGGCGTGTCAGTGGCTTTTGGAGCTCCTATTGGAGGAGTCCTGTTCAGTCTGGAGGAGGTGGGTAGAGCTTATGATGCGTTTTCCACTGTTTTCTATCATTTGTCTGCAGATTCTCTGTATCTGTATTCCTGTGTCAGAACAACACCTGCAGTGCCGGCTGTTTTGTTACTCCACAAATACCTGATTTGAATTAGTTTTTAATTGCTTTCCACTTCCTGTGTAATTTTTTCGTACTGGAACGAGCACAGCGCTGGCACCAAGCTGGGACATAATAAATATGAGAAATTATTTGCAGTCTTAATTTGGGAAGCGAATGCATTTTTGGCAGCTGTCAAATCCATCTTGGGCAGAAACATGCTGAAGAGTTTCTGGAATAAGGAAACTGGCACTTTGATCACCTCATGGGGTTTCCCCAAAACAGGGAACATGACCGTGCACTGAACTGATGAACCACGGTTAGTTTATAATATGAGATAATGTAATGAAAACTATTAGGTCAGTGTTGGCCTCACAAAATAGAGGAAAGGCCAATACTTGAGCATTTTGTTAATTAAAAAAATACTTGGAGTTTAATTGCCCATGCTGTTTTTTTATTGGCTCTTTCTATCGCCCCACTCAGAGATCCCATCTCAAATAAAGAGTTGCTTAAGTCTGCTATGCTTATTAGACTTTCCAAGAGTTTTTAATTTCATTTAGTTTAAAATTGTTATTTTTGATTCAGTTTTGTTTAATTTGGTTTCCAGAGCTTGCTTTGTTTTTATTGTCTAAAGATGTTTAAAGATGACTGAGAGATTTGAGTCTCGCATAAACAGAAGCAGTAAAAGTTTTCTTGGGATGCTTGTTTTGACAATCTGAGCAAAATTGGAAAAAGACAACACTTTAAAAACGAGGAGAATAATGTCTTATTTTGTTTTAGTTCGTTTTGTAAATACAATTTTTGGTTGAGCCTAGTTTTTATATCTTTGTGTTTTCCATTCAGTCCAGTTGTAGTTATTTTGTTTAGGTTTGGGGTGTAGTGAGCTCCGGCTTTGCCTCTCTCTCATCAATAAATGTCTCTGTCCGCCTCTCTCTCCTCCAGGTGAGCTACTACTTCCCCCTGAAGACTCTGTGGCGTTCGTTCTTCGCCGCTCTGGTGGCGGCCTTCACCCTGCGCTCCATCAACCCGTTTGGGAACAGCCGCCTGGTGCTCTTCTATGTGGAGTTTCACACGCCGTGGCACCTGGTGGAGCTGGCCCCTTTCATCCTGCTGGGGATCTTTGGAGGCCTTTGGGGGGCGCTGTTCATCAAGGCTAACATTGCCTGGTGCAGGCTTCGTGAGTAGCGGTGACATATCTGTGACGTATTTTTCTTTCCTTTGTGTCTCCAACCCATAAATTAACTTCTCCACACACCTCACAGGTAAAACCACTTGTCTGGGTCGCTACCCCGTCATCGAGGTGCTGGTGGTCGCCGCGCTGACCGCCTTGCTCGCCTACCCCAACAGTTACACCAGGATGAGCGGATCCGAGCTCATCTCGGAGCTCTTCAACGACTGCTCCCTGCTCGACTCGTCTCAGCTGTGCGGCTACAAACAGGTCAGCCGATAAATCGCCGCATCAGGATGCTGCAGTTTTTCACGTGATTATTTAACCTTGCTGAGCTATCTAATATATCTTCATATATATTTCTTGTTCTTCTCTCACACTGCTTCCTTTCCCCCTCTTTCTGTCTCCATGCGTATCTTTCTTCTCCTCACTCGTGCTCGCAGCCAGCCAACACGTCAGACACAGGTGTAGATAACAGCCTCGCTGACCGGCCAGCGGGACCGGGCCTTTACACGGCGCTGTGGCAGCTGGCCCTGGCCTTGGTCTTCAAGATGATGATCACTGTTATTACATTTGGCATGAAGGTTTGTGAAGAGACACTCAGCGGTCCGCTTTGAACTCCTCATCAATGAGACATTTATTGTTATTCTCCCCGTGGTGTAACATTGCATGTAAAAAGCCTACAAAGGCAGCTGCCTTTAATATATCTGGAGCCACATTTGATCAAGTTTCCAGCGTTCATTCACTCGTGTTACCCATTTGGGAATTTCGATGGATGAAGTAAGTGATTCTGTAAATGGTTTTCTGCGATTCATATGCGATGTGAATCCCCGTCATGTGGCTCGCTGAGGAAAGAAATGAATATTGTTTTCTAGAAAACGCAAAAGTCCCTTTGGTAACGAAGCTAAAATGAATTGGCTGAAAATGCCTGTGGAAATGTTTTAATTAGAGACCATCTTGTCTGAGATGGTGATGTGCATCATGAGGTTCTCTGATGGGGAAAAATGGGGAAAAGTTGGGAACATAACCAGCATCTGGGAGGGAAGGCCCTCTTTTTGACTTATTGAATTAAAAGCTAACGCAAACTGAACTGTTAGATGCACAGAGGTCTGGATGGATATTTTTAACTGATTCTGTCCGTGCAGGTTCCCTCTGGTCTCTTCATTCCCAGCATGGCAGTTGGAGCCATAGCTGGCAGGCTGCTCGGCGTTGGCATGGAACAGCTGGCCTACTACAACCACGACTCGGTTATCTTTAAAGGGTGGTGCTCTCAGGGGGCAGACTGCATCACGCCGGGGCTTTACGCCATGGTTGGAGCTGCCGCTTGTTTAGGTGAGACATGGATGTCTGTTTCCTGAGTGTTTGCTTGATTTAAACCACTGTGTGGTTGGGTGGAGGGTGAGAAGGGTGTCGTCGGGAGGATTGAGAAGTGACAGAAGATACTGGACAGAAAAGCGTAAAGCAAGAGTGGCGGTGAAGTCTCAGAGGCTGTTTGGGTTTAGATTTAGGCTGTTTCGTAGTAATATTCTAAACATGCTCTTCTACCAACATCCTGAGTCTGACATGGAAATGTTTTAGGATATATAGAAAGCAGCTGGATGTGAGAAGGCTGAAGGACTCCTTGGTCCACACCAGAGGAAGCCATTCCATGAATCTTTGTGTATGACTTTATCTATCCAGTTTATTATGGTCTGTAAATGATTCGAGGTGCCTGACATTGCAAACAGTCACTTAAAGGAGCTTTACATTTTAATTTAAATCCACCCTTCAGTCTATCCATCCATTGTCCTTCCACTTGTCTCCTGAAGGCGGGTCACAGCGGTAGCAAACTAAAATTTCCAGTTCCTCCTGAGGGATCCCAAGTTGTTCCCAGACCAGACAAGATATGGGTCTACCCCCGATCTCGTCTCAGTTACGCATGCGCTGAAAACATCCAAAGGAGACATCCTTACCAGAGCCTCAATCCGCTTCATCCAGCTCCTTTCAACAAGTAGTAGTAATGGTTCTCCTCTGAGATCCCTCTGGATGTCTGAACTCCTCACCCTGCCTCTAAAGTTGGCCCCAGCCACAGCAAGGAAGAAACTAATTTCAGCCACTTCTATTCACAATTTTTCTCTTTTGCTCATTATCCGTAATTCATGACCATAGGTGATGGTTGGGGCATAGATGAAAGCTTCACGAAAAACTCGGCTCACTCTTCATCGCGACAAACAAGTTCATTGCACCAGTCCGCCCGTCCAACTGACACTCCTCCGTCACATTACTCGTGAATAAGATCCCAAGATACTTGAAGTCCTTTGCATAAAACAATCAGACAATCCACTATAAGCAGGCACCAGGTAATGGCAGGAAAGAAGGAAGGCCATTTCTTCTAAACAGGAAGAAATCTCAGGCTCTGTGACTGGAATCCATCTGCTGTGATGGGGAAAAACAGACAAAACACAACTCTGTGGAAGAGAGAATATAACAGTTAATAATTAAGAATGTATGAATGGATAGCAGAGGGGTGTCTGTCGATCAAAAACCAAAAAGCTTCAAAAAGTTCATTCTGAAGTTCCTCCAAACTGTGCTGTTTATAACGCTGGCCAAACTTCACTTGGATGAGTAATTAAACATTTCTCCTGCTGAAAAAGCTCCATCCAGAAGAACAGAGTCAAGTTTGTGGCTTGTGTAGCGCAAAAAATATCGGTCCCCTTGTGGGACTCCGTGGCCAACTTTTGTGTGCGGGGAAGGCTCCTTGCTTACAACAAACTGGGATCTATCAGATACTTATGAATCACGCCAGCTCAGCACATGGCCTTTAATAGTAATAATGCTTTTTAGTCACTGTTATAAACATTTGGTCATCAGTGGTAGCTCAACCCTGCACTGGTGAAACGAGACCCTACAGGTCACCAAAATATCAGTGTTGTGAGAATTTCAACACTGATGACTGATTTATCTTTTTTTTTCTGAAGCAAATCCAAAAATTTCTTCAATTCAAAATCTGCCACTTCCCTTATTTATTCTTTTAGAAAAAGATTTTCGAATAAAACTGGTTCAAAAATGCCGCAGTGGCACATTTAACCTTGTTTTATTGAGATAAAAGTACCTGTTTATATACAGAAAAAGCTTTACAGAGCGATTGTTTACTACACATCATCTGGTGTTTAATACACCACAGATTTATAGCTGTTTATTAAATCAGTTTTCTCTTCAGTTCATAGATGTCACATGTCGTACACACTTCAGGTTTCTGATATTAGCCATTACTTTTCATGTGCAGTAAATTGTTTTAACGCTTGATGATGATGATACAGTTATCATTGTTTTCCCTTTCCCTTCTCTTTTGTCTAACTAAACATAGCACAGAAAAATGATGCTGATGGGTTATCGTTCTCTTCACAGAGAGGTGTCTAGTCTAAAAACAGATGTTTAATTCTTCGCACAAGAAGAAAGTTTGAGGGCAGCGAGCCGCGTGTTTTATAGATCTGGGACAGAGTTTAAAGAGAGGTTTCTTGTTTCTGAAATATGTCTCTGTAATATATGCACACACTACACTTTATGATAGTGCTCATAAATAAAATATCTGGCAGTGAAAGAGATCTCATCTGATTTAAGAAAGCCAGAGATTTCATTCCCTTTACTACACTGTGGTTTGTCTCTTTGCATTTTCCTCAAAGTCTCTTTCACAACGCAGGGCAACAGCATTTACACACAGGAGTCTCCACTCTTGACCGCCTCAGACTCTCATGTGCTGCTGTTATTCTTGTTCACAAGTCACCATTATGGGATTGTGCCATCGTAGCTGCTCTGTGGAGCTGTTTGAGCTGCAAACATTCAAACCCAGCATACGCCAGTACTTGGATCTCTATACGTTTACTTATTTTGCTGGCAAAATACTTGCTGGCACTAAATACATTCCTGATGATCTGGTACAGCAATGCAAATAGAGATTGCTCGTAGAGCCAAAACTAAAACAAGGGTAGCTACTTTCAGTTATTACACAGTAATAACACACTGCCAAATACTCTGAACCAGCTGAGTGTCTAGATAGAAAATGCTCCTCCTTGAGTTTTCTTCATGTTAACTTTTTCCCTCAAACAATATTTGATGACTTTCCCTGTACCCTCAATGACGATGTTTGACACCTCAGTGCGTATAAATAAAGACGTGGTTTGGCGACTTTTACAGATTTTTCCCGGGGGGGGGGGTTGCATAATCACAAACCACCTTTACTAATATCTGATGCAAATCCAGTCATTTATTCTTTAGTCAGGCCTGAAATATGGCAGAAACCTTTAACCTCCTAGGACCTGGAGTCCACATATGTGGATGTCGCAATTTGGGCTGTCTAGACCAAAATACTAAATTTCGCTCTACAAGGGCCTGATATCCACTTAGAAGGACATTATACTGCCACTGTTCTATTGAAATTTAAAATGAATGTCCTCTCATGTGGATCTTACTTTTCTCAGAAACAAAAAGCAGGTTAAAAAAAAAAAATCTGGTAATTCTTTGTTTTTACATTCATCAGGTCCCAATCAGCCCAAATAGCAAAGAGAAATTAAAAGTGCATGCCATGAAAGAGTTTGGGTCTTAGGAGGGTTCAGAGGAGAGCTTCTAGGGTCTTTCCTAGTAGGCTTTCAAAACATAAAGAGTGAAAAGGGAGTTCTTCCTTTTCACCATTCCCAAGTACTGCTCTGAAAATTTGGATTCTCTATTGTTCTGTGTTTTGGTTCTATGGTTACTACTTGTGTGTTATATAGTTTCTACATATACAGCATGAGTGGCTGGAAAGAAACAGAATTTCTACACGTGTGAGACTCATTCTGTTGTTGAAACAGCTGGATGTTATGTACATTTCACACGAGGAGAATCAGGTCAGGACGCGTGCGGCAGTAATCCTTTCTCACGTTTAGCACAAACAGCAGGAGGTAGTCCCACTTCAGACGCGTTCACGCCACTGGAAGGTGAGGCAGCCATCTGGATTAGCTAACAGTGCGCGCGCCACCCTGACTGCACCTCGATTACTAATCTTACTTGATTTTTGGAAAAACCTCTTAAAGTAATGAAAAAAAAAAAACCTGGTAAAATTTTGGGGGAAAAAAACAAAAAAAAATCATCAGTTAATAATTTAAATGTGTAGAAAAAAACAGGAAGAAAAGTTTTTAATCCTCTGAAAGGGGAAAAAAAAGGATATACAACACTTGTAATAAAGTCTTTGACATGCAGCTGTTTTGTGGCAGTTGTTTTGAAGAAAAGCACAGAGTTGAAAACGTAGCCTTGGCTTTCTGGCCACATCTGAGGTCGAACATGATGATAATTGGATTCAGACTTTACCAGCTGATGTTAGTGGCAACAGTGTCATACAGAGAGGAGATGAATGGTCTGAGCTCTCGGGTAGAGAAATAGATGTGCCACTAAATGCCTCTGTAAACTCGATGAACAGCAGCGCGGGCTCTGTTATATGCTCACCTTATGTGCCCTCTGTTCTCTAATTGCTCTTTTTCTTTTTGCCTGCAGATGAAGATAAAATGAGTCAGACGGGAATTAAATCACCTATTAATCTTGCTCGCCTGTGGTCTAACCTTTTTCCATTCTCATATCTGCCTCCAGGTGGAGTGACTCGAATGACAGTATCTCTGGTAGTCATCATGTTTGAGCTGACTGGCGGTCTGGAGTACATTGTTCCCCTCATGGCTGCAACCATGACCAGCAAATGGGTGGCAGATGCTTTCGGAAGAGAGGGAATTTACGAGGTGACGTGTCTGCAAACGTTAATGAAAAGTGTCTGTCCCCTCCAACCCTTTGCTGTACAATAAGAGCGAGTTTGCGCTCTTTTTGTCTTTATTAGGATTCATGTGTTTTATTGTTTAGGTTTTTTTTCCCCCCTCCTTTTAAAAATGGAGACGTAAAACCTGCATGTTCCTGATGTTTCGCAGGCTCACATCAGGCTGAATGGATACCCGTTCCTGGAGCCAAAAGAAGAGTTTGAACACAGCAGCCTGGCGGTGGACGTGATGAGGCCGAGGAGGATGGACCCCGCGCTGGCTGTGCTCACGCAGGAGGGCATGACTGTGGGGGAGGTGGAGGTACGACTGCACGTATTACACCTATGTTTCTTGGGAAGAGATTTGGAATCCTAATAGAGATAATAGAAATAACATTCGTTTCTTGGTTTATGCGCAGTCATTGGTGGAGAGCACGCACTTTAGTGGCTTCCCTGTGGTTGTCTCTTCGGAGTCCCAAAGGCTTGTGGGATTTGTACTCAGGAGAGATCTGCTCATATCAATAGGTATGAATTATGCTCGTGTGTAAACAACGATCTAGTCACAGGGTTGTTGTTTTTTGTTTTTTTTTTGTATGCAAAGCAATTTGGTTTCCACAAATCCCACTTTGCTCCTTTCAGACAATGCCCGCAAACGTCAGGATGGCATCGTCAGTGCCTCCCAAGTGGTCTTCACTGAGCACACACCGTTGCTTCCTCCCGACGCACCGCCTCCCCTCCGGCTGAGGTGCATCATGGACCTGAGCCCCTTTACAGTTACTGATCACACCCCTATGGACATCACTGTGGATATTTTCAGAAAACTGGGGCTACGCCAGTGTCTGGTAACACATAATGGGTAAGAAGAAACACACACACACATGCATATACTTGATTTTGTAATTAATGTTTTTATATCAAGTATTTAGTGTCCAAAGGGCAAACCTGCGCTGGATTTAGTCTCCAAAATGACTTATTGTATGAGCGGAGCCCTCTAGTTTCAAGCAATATTAACAAAGATACACAAAATGACCACACTCCCACTCCCGTAGACATTAAACTGAGATATGTTGAGGAAATTGCGCTTGTGGAGGAATGAAAGGAGTGACAGATGAATGTGTAGGAGAGCTCGGGGTCATTCCTCTGTCAGGTCATGCATCAAGGTGAGCGCAGGAGTCAGGGAGGGGGAGACAGAAGGTTAATGGAGTGTGTGGCAGTGAGGAACAACAGTGGAAATTCTCAAGGTGTTTTTCTGCCTTAAACTCTGAACTGTCACTGACTCCATACCATGAACTTCAGTGAGGACTTTGTGTTTTGTACATCTGCTGATATAATGGCTTTTGGGGCTTTGGTATGCACGTCTCCGTAATGGAAAACATGTCATGGATAGAGCTACAAAGCCTACGTGGTATTTGATATTTGCAAAAGCAACACACAGGGAAGCGGAGGAATTATGATGATGGCACGCTATCAATTTGGACGCATTGAAGATTTTCTTTTGTAGCTCGTGACACTTTTTAAAATCTGCGTCTTCAAAGTAGTCCCGCAGTGATCAAGGCTTTTGTAGTATGATTGGGAAACTTAGCAGATGATGTGTGTATATATTTTTTAACTTTCTAACATGTGTCCTCTTTCACCAATAAACCTTTCATGCACAGAGTATGCAGTAAGAACCAACACAGGGGAAACCGTAACCACCGTTCTGCCATTAAAAAAAAAAAATCTGTTTATACGAAAAATAACAAAAACTAAAACCATCGACAAAATGTGAAGAAATAAGTGACTTCATGTCCAAGACAACTGAGTATCGTACTAAAGAGATATCAGCTGCACTAGGACTAGGCTGTACTTTCACGTAGTACCAAATTGTACTACAACAAGGTGCATCAGTTCAAGATAACCTTTATTTAACTACGTAAGTCGTTACGAACATGTTCTTAAAAGTAAATCCCAGAGAACAACATGCATCCAAAAAATTCCTACAAAATCTGTTTGTGCACATGCTGCATCGTGGTGGTGAAAGCCAGTGACTTGGTCACCAGAGTGAAAATGGGACGGCGACGTCTTCGTGACTAAGAAAAAACGGAGCCGCAGCTGGAATAACTCTGATAAATTGGCCAAGTTTTGCATGTTAACAGAGGGATTTATAAATGCAGAGAGATTGGTTGCAACACTTGGTCTACACTGATGAGCGCAATTTGTCTGCAAGTTGACTCAACTGGTTGCCAGCTGGTTGTATGCTGGTCATGTAAGAGAAGGTTGCTGAGTTGTCTGTCATTTCGGAGTAAATCACCGTCCAACAACTTCGTCTATGTTTGGGATGAATTGCTGTTTCAGGTCTGTGAGGTTTTGGCTGGATTTATGCAAGTACTTAGTATGATTTTCTGGGTATCTAGACAGCAACAGATTTGGGATTTTCACCGATTTGTCACAGTTAAGAGCCGCATTATCACAAACAGATTATAGCTTGAATCCATTTAAGTGCAAACTGATAAGAAACTCGCAGCAGACTGACTCGGTCTTATTGGGATTGCATCGTCTTATTGTCACTTTGAAGATGGCAACTTACTGTGAGCGGCCCCGGACTTGGTTCCTGCCTTTGAAGCGACCATTTCATCGCAAGTTCATTGCACATGGTTGCAATATATTCAACCACTGTTTTCCCTAGTGTGACTGCAGAATTAGAGATGCGATGAAGGATTTTATAAACTGCCCTCTGAACTCTCCCAGACTTTGCAATTACTCACAGGCAGTTGCAATTCCAACACGACAGCATCAGCAGCTTGGATTAGCTCCGTGCATTTCAGATCTGCATTCGCTTTACTATTTGATGAGCGCTATAATCTAACCACAAACAAAACAACCAGCGTCTGGAATCCTGAGTAAGTGATGCCTTTTTCTTCTCTTTTAGTTAGTTTTGTTCAGATGCATCATTAAAATGTTTTAAAGAGCTTAAATCAAACTTGGCCTCAGCTGTAGAAAACCTGGCATCAGTTCGCTACAAAGTCGACGCAGAAATTGGACTAAGGCTGCTGTTTGGTCATTCATTTGAAATGTGAGCTCTCAGGGATATTTAGCAAAAACTTTACTCTGTTCTAAAATCATCACTATCAACCACACCTCCTCCAGCCCCACTGAGGCCAACTTAGCTAAACAACACACTGTTCTTTTGTCTGTCGGGCCTTACATCTGTCTTCATAATGGAAAACTATAGTGTTGGTCTGCAGAATTACATTCAGCAACAGAAGAACAATAAACTTAATCAGAGTTGGGTTCATTTTTCTTCCTTCGGTCCGTCTCTCGTGCGCGCACGGTTGTTTAGATCGAGGTCTGACATGTTCAAACATGGGATTTTAGGAGTGGGACTGTGTATATTATGAATTTACAGTACATGCGGTGTATATAACAAAGACGGTTAAACAAACACTCGTAATCATGCAGCTTGTGGTTTCTCACTTTGTCCTCTTGGCACACTGTATCAAGTTTTCTACAGTAACGCTCCTTTTGTGGAAGACCGAGTGTTTAGCCTTGGCCTGAGCTGCCATCAAGGCACAGAGCCACCTAATGTTGCAAAGAGCGAATCAAAAAGCGGCGTAGAAAAAGAATGAAGATATGAAATGTGAGAGGGAAGGAAAATAAATGTAAGAATATGAAAGAAATGTGGGTTTGCCAGGGGAAGAATTATGCCAAGTTTATCAGTTTGGATCACTGAAGCAGAGAAGGCTGGCTCAGCCCAACTAATTCAGGCAATGTATTCACTGTATTTGCTCAAATTAAATTCTGAGGGTGAGGATCTCATGCAGCTCAGAGGTTAAGATGCAGCGAGCTACAATGTTCCTGTTATTTCTCTGCCGTATTCGCGTTTTGTTTTTTTTAATATAAAGGCTTAAAATGATCCAAAGTGTTACCTATAAATCAATAAAAACATGGAGACAAGCGTAAATTCTTTCCCTTAAAATCATCAGCAAAGTGACCTTTGAGCTACTTTAAAATTATTATTTTTTCGCTACCTGGGGGACAATAAAATTTGATGTTACAACTTAGCACGAGCTGAAATACAGTCGAGTTGGCAAATGAGGTTAAAGAGGACTTCTCAGAATTTGTCATTGCAACCCCCGTGAGTTAGCTGATGTGCAAGAGGCTGTTTGAAGCAAGTCTTTTTAGACCTCGTGATCTAGTATTTATTGTAAATAAGCACTCAAGGTACTTTTTACTTTAGTGTGGATCAAGTCACATCTGTAATGACTTTAAAAAACAAGAACTGGGTGCTCAAATTTGAATGTATTTTGTATTTTCTCTAATCCACACGGGGGTCAAAAGTATATATAGTTGATGCCCTTTAGCAAGTTGCACCTCCACCAGGTGCTTTTGTTATCTGTCAACAAGCTTCCACAATAATTCTGACTGGATATGTGACCAATCTTCTTGGTAGAGTTGGCATAATGTTCATTTAAATTGGTTTCCTGCCACGGTCTCAGCTATTAAATGCACTTTCAATATCGATGTGGACAGGGATTAGGAAAGGCCGTTCCAGAAGTATAATGTTCACCTGTTTTGATATGTGTTTGGGATCATTTACTGTTAGAACAACCATGTCCAACATCTAGCTGTTGCTTTGAGGTGTATTCCTCCCCCATTATTATTCCAGCCACTTCGTGCTATTGCTGCTGCCATTAAACAGCCCAGAACATGATGCTACCACCACCATGCTTGACAGGTGGTACACTGTTTTTAGGTTTGAAAGCCTCACCTTCACTCCTCCAAACATACCTCTCGTCTTTGTGGCAAAATACCTCAATCTTTGTCTCTAATTTCATGTCAGATTTCCAGTTCATGGCAGGCTTGAGCTTTGGTGGTTCCTGGGTTGTTTCAAAATATTTAACCTATTTTCTGTCATCTGAGGGTAAGGTAACAGTTTGACGGGGTCTGGAACAAGACCCAACGTTTTTTAAAGTCATTAAAGGTGTATGCTGTACATTCAGTCCACCCTGGAAAAACAAAAGTTCAAAGAAATAATTAAAAGCCTCAAATTTAAATTTGGTGACATCTTACTTACCTTGTACCCTAGACTGTCAAACAGCTGAAAATGTCTCAAAAGATGGGTCATTTCTAAGATGGATAATGTCACTGTAACTTCACCCACTGGTTTGTGGCACCTGAAGCTGAACTGTTTTGGGGGGGTCAACAGCACCGACAGCATCGAAACCTTTGTATAGTGGGTCTGTGTTACTCTGCAAGTTCACCAGCATGCAGTAGATGGCAGTGCATTTGTAAATACATACTTTCTTGGAATTGGAGTTGTGGTTACATTTAAATGAAGTTACACACTAGGTTATGGTGTGTGCTTTCAAGGGATTTTAAGCAGCATGGGAGGAAAAAGAAACCTCAGGTTTCACAACACAGCCCGAGACACAATTTCTTTTGCACTATTTTTGGATGCTTACTCACATAGCATCCATTTGATTCTTCGCATGTACTTTCTGTATAACTAACCACACAAAAACTTTGTTTTGGGTTTGATCCGAACACATCGTTATACTTGTAGTGTCACTCTTTGTCAGTGTGTATAACCAGTTTATCCTTCCTGTGTAAAACCCCCTTTTTTACTGTTTCTTCCTGCTGCCAGTTGAGTCTGACGTGTGGAGCAATAATTCAAACCACGTTTGAGAGCAGAAGAGATGAAAATCAGCAACTGTCAACAAAAACCCCTCAGGCATGTAGCTGCTGCTCTTCACAACAGCTTATTATAAAAGATGGGTTTAAGATTGACTCGCCGCCTGTGGGTAACTTTGTCAAGCATAGTGACTCCTGAAGGACACATTGGCCTCAGATGGGCCCAAAGTAGAATTTCTTTCTTTTCTGGGTTGGGCTAAACAGGAACTTAGAGGAACATAAAAGGGGTGAGAAGGAGAAAGGACTGAAACTGGTTAAAGAAAGCTGTAGTCTGCTCTGCTTGGTTGGGCAGGATGAGGTTTTAAATTAAATGAATCACTCATTGTCTGGGAACAAAAAATGTTTGCACACAGAAAACAGACCTTGAGGCTGTATGAAGTGCAAACTCTGGTGTCTGCGGTCCTACGAGATGTTAATTTTATCGCTCTCACCTGCAACAAAGGGATTTCCCCAGGCTATGTTTAGTTCAAGGTTGCCTAGTTAGGTGGAAGTCATTTTTGGTTGACTCGGTATTTGTTGTGTTGAAATTTAAAAAACAAAAAACAAAACCTCGATCTGCTTTTGTTTTTCATGTGTCAGCTTAAGTTTATTTTGCAAAACAAGCCAAAACAACAACATCCTCACTGCCACAATGTTTTCGTTAGACTTGGTTTTGCCTTGTTTTCATTTTTTTTTTTTTTTTTTTTTTTTGTGCTCAGATTTCTTTGATCTTGTTCTCATTTGTCAAATTCACATCTTCACGCGAGCATTTATGAATGAAAGACAGTCCTGTCACATGTGTTTCTCTGAACAGATGATTAAAGAAGCAGCGCTGGGATGTTTGTGTGGGTGGAAGAAAGATGTAAAAGCTGCTTGTGTTGGGCTTTTTTGTTTTGGTCAGAGGATGAAGTTGTTTACAGTAAAGTGGACCTGTTAAGCTTTTCAATATTATCTGTTTGTTAAATATTTATATTTCATCTAAAAAATATAATATGATATAATTCACATACAGCTGCAGTTGTTAATGTGAATTGTGAATGTTAATGATGAGGTCAGTGTATTTAGAAATAATCCCTGGGAGCTAGAAGATCAGGCTTCAAGCCCCTTTAAACACAACGTCTCCATCAAATGTTTTTTCTATTTTTAACTCTGCATGATGTTGGTATAGTGATCTCACAGAAGCCCCACCCACCTGCTCTGGAATACTTCTGTTTGCTAGGGACAGCCAATCAGATGAAAGGTGGCTTAAAGGGCGAAGAGCTAAAACAGCCTCTTTCAGTAAGGGTAAGCGGAGGTTGTGCACCAAAGCTTAGGCTTTATTTGAACTGAGAATCCTACAATGCTGCTCTAGTAGGGACTCAGGATAAAAATCTGAATGTAATGATGAATATTGTTACGCTTTAGTCCAAAAAACAGTAATTCAGGGTTCTTGTAGACGTCTGAATTTTGAGACTGCATGGACTACAACTAAACTAAACAACTACTTGGCTGTCAGATCTCCAGCTCTGCACGTCTTTTCCATAACACAGTAAAATGTAGGCTTAAAGCATCAAGGATATTACAGATAAACAAAAAAATATAATATATTGTAAACAGTGATTTCGGTGCTTATTGGGGTGTGGGTCATAGGGGCGCCAGTTAAAGCAGAGATTTCCAGATTGTCCTGGAGGGGTGCATAAACTATCCCTTAGTCAGTTGAGGGATCTTCTCCAGCATGTCCAGGCCCTGCTGAGGTGTAGGACGCATCCCAGTCAGATGCCCAAACCACCTCATCTGCATCCCTCTACCAGCTGTACTCGAATTCCTGCCAAATGACTGAGCTTCTCACCGCAGACACCTTCCCAAGGACGACGATTTCTGCCGCTTGTATCCACAACCTCATTAAGAATACTGCGGAGGTTGTCAGATGTTGTCTTTATGGGGGAAAGAGTTTAAGCTTCAGGGCTCCATACAGACCACTAACATGTGTCAAAATAGCGACTCTTTAATCTGATTTTCATGCTGGGGGAGGCGACGAAGCCACATCTAAGGAGTCGGGCGAGCTGTGAGTGGAGATTCTCATAGTGTGGCCCCAAGAAATCTAGTTTTCATCGAGCCATTTGCAGCCAGTTCAGCCCATTTCTCTGACTCCTCAGGGCATTGCTGCCTCACGTCATCACAGATCACAGCGTGCATACAAAAACAGCAATTTCCTGCAACGGTTTTAATTGAGCGAGCGTCGTGAGCTGATGGTGGTTCGCTCCTTTCAGATGCAGATGGTGACTGGCATGTGAGGTCCTTTCAACGTTTAATTTGTAAGAAGAGGAATGGCTTATGCCATCTGTTGAAAATCATCTGTCGCTAATATGCAGCAGATTAAATGTCCTCGGAGCGTTGCGCAATTAATCGCCGGATGTCGTGGACGGCTTCCATTTCTCTGACCCCCCCCCAACCCACCACCAGCACCACTGGAAATTTGATTAGATTTGTGTTAGCAGAGTCGTGTTGTTGATCAGTCACTTGTTTGCTCTGTGTTTTCATGTTGCTGTGCTCTGCCAGTTGCCCTGGCTCCGTTTAATAAAACTGAATCAACTGTGCCGAGATAGAGGGCCAGGCCTAAGCGAAGGTTTCTGCTTTCTGTCACTCTCTCTGGTTTTCCATGACGAGGTGATCAAAGAATGACTTGAAGTCATCCACTTTTGTTCTGCTTTTCTGTCTCTGTTTTCAGGAGGCTGCTGGGAATCATCACCAAAAAGGACATACTTAAACACATGGCGCAGATGGCCAACAGGGACCCGGACTCCATCCTCTTCAACTGATCTTCTCCGTCCTTCCTCTTCATCCTCGCCCACCAAATCGCCCCTCTGTAGAGTGGGGTGAAGGGGGGGGGGGGGTACACCAGCTTGTAGACTTACATGAAATGCACCTTTACCTCTTTGGCGAGAGAGAGCCAAGGAAGCTTGAGCTTCATTTGCACAGCTGACCAGAGAACAATGGAATTTATTTTCTGTGTAACTTGAAGGCAACTTTGGCTCTTCGAATGACGACACACACCACTGAAAAAATTTCAAGAAAACAACAAGCTGTCAGAGACAGTGACTCGTCCTTTTACTGACAGTGCTGGACCCGATATCATGAGGGAAGTAGGACAGAAGTAAGTCGATGGAATATTTCACATCTGCACCTTCCAACATTTTCTGTTCTCATTTCCTTCCTCATTTTCAAACCAGTGAGGAAACCTTCAGAGAACCCCAAAGCCACTTCTCTCTCCTCTGTTTGCCATCTCGATTCTCACACCTGGAAGGAAGGGGGGGGAGGCAGGAACAGCTAATCCTCTGTTATAGGTGCTGACAAGAGGAGACGGGGTGGAGGAGGAGAAAATGAAGACATTGGGGAAGATGAAGAGCTGTTTTGGGAGCTCCGTGCCTGCCTCCAGGCCATCACAGCGAGCCCAGACAGAGCACTTTGAGCTGGGCTGATGGATGTGCAGACACCTCCCTCCCTCTGTGAGGTTTCCTGTAGCCGTGAGGGTGAAGGATCCAGGAGTGTGAGAACAGGATTGACTACACACACACACACACACACACACACACACACACACACACACACACACACACACACACACACACACACACACACACAAGCAAGCGTACACTCCACAAAGACTTTCACGTCAGCCTGGGAACCCACTAGAAACATCTTTTCTTTTTCTTTCATTTTTCGTCCTATGTTTGAGTTTTGTGATACAGCTCCAGCCTGGGAACTATGCAGCGCTGTCCTGCCATGCAGACAGTTTTGTTATGTTAACGACGTATATAGTCATCGGAAACCATGTCATTCCTTATAGAAGGTGAGGAGCATTTCCAGGCTGTTGTGGAAGGGTTAAAAGAAAATCATGATGTGAATTAATTTATGTAAATGTAAAATTGTTCACTCTACTAAATTATTCCCCTGATTAAAGTTGTGTTTTGTCTTCTTTGTTTTAGCTCCTCATCACTTCGACTGATGTCTTGTTTGCATTTCGTACTCACCTGATCTTTATTTCATTTATTTATATATTTTTTAAGCTCCGATTCGAGCAAATCTCTCACTGAAACGTGTTTTTGTTTTCGTCGGTGTTCAGAACACGAATTTTAGTTCTCTGAATTTACTTTTTTTTTTTCCAGTTTTTCCTAAAAAGCCAAACTGAAACTGATCCAGTGGAAAAATGTCAGCTGCAGCTAATCAAAGAATCTTGATCAAAAATGAGAAACAGCTGCTGCTCTGGTCCTCTGAAATATAAGATTTTTTTTTCTCCTGTCAGGCAATAGTGAGGTGAATCTTTGTTCTATTCAAAGACGTCATGTAGGCACAATTTTTCCGATGACTAACCACGCAAACAATTTTCAAATGAACGGAAAATGATAATTGTTCAAATTTTAGTTTAATCAGGTTTGAAGCTGAATTTGGGCATTAACACGGTGATGTCAAAGTATATTACTCTGTAAATGAATCTGTATGCCATTAAACCCACCTCAACATTTTAAAATAATTGTGTTAATTTATAAAATGTTCTCACAGGACTAAATGCATCCCATGGCCCTCTCTTCTTTATTTTAGGGTTTTGTTTTGGGTTTGTTTATCAGCATTTTAACCAGGTCTGGACTTGGACATGACCATTGCAGCACCTTGATCCTTTCCTTTTTCAGCCATTCTGTTGTAGATTTGCTGCTGTGACTGGGATCATCGTCCTGTCGGATGACCTGATTTCAACCAAGCTTCAGCTGCCAGACAGGCGGTCTCACATTTGACAGGTTCTGCGAAATGAGGCCAAATCACCAGCCCTCCACCAGCGTGCCTGACGGCTGATGTGCTGTGTTTCGTTTTTGCCAAACCTGTTGCCGTTCATTACGGTTAAACGTCTCCACTCCACAAATCACATTGTTCCAGAAGTGTTGTGGTTTATTCAGATTTATTATTTCTCCTGCCAACCTTTCCAAACAAGTCATATTTGTTCAGGCATTTTCTAATTTGACAATCATGAACTAACTGAGGCCTGTGGAGTCTGGCTCTTTGTTCTTTTACATTTTCTCAGAGCATTTCACAGTGAAGGATCTCAGGAGTGAGTTTGCTGAATGTTCACTCCTAAGAAGATCGCTGCTTTGTGTTAACACATGGCTGAATGCCCCTTATTGCTGATCAGTTAATCGAGTATATTTGATTAGCAGGCTGGCTGCTACGTACCAGTCATAGTACGGATTTCCCCCAACCCAGTTTATTTCTCCAAACTTATTCTTTTTTTATTTTGCTTAGCACAAAATTACAGAAAGGAAACAACGGCTAACAGAAACCATTTTATGAGCTAACTGGTGTTTATTTCAAGTGTCTCATGGCATATTACATTAATTACAGGTTCATTCATTTCTTTCTTTGTTTTGAATTTTTGGCAGCTTTGGTCCTCCATACAAGTCTGAATGGAGAGGTGGAAGCAGCTCATATTATCTCAGACGTTATATCACCATCCAGAGAATAATATTATTCTGGGCTATTTTTAACTCTTTAGAAATTCAGCGGGTCAGTTTGAACTTCATGTGCTACCCTGTAAATGTTGGCGGCCCGGGACTCGTAAAGTTTCACCTCCTCTCTGAGCGCTTTGTTTAGATGGTGAATTGATTTTCTTTTTTCTCACAGGCTGCTCTCTGCAGCCAGTAAAAACACAAAGTAATGGTGAAAGTTTAGAGAAACCATCATGTGTCCTGGGAACAAGCACCTGCTAGAAATCCTGTACGTTATGTTGACTTAATGGGACTTTAAAATGGAACGAACCCTGTGAGCTAGCGATGTTTATTGAGCCTTCAGAAATACAAAGACAGAGATGCATAAAAATGTAATGTTAAAAAAAACACACTGGGTGAACATCTTAGAATTCATTTGGGAGTTTTTCCAGTCCACACAGGATCATACAAATGTACATACATATAGATACAGGTTCTAAAGTGTGTGTTTAACTATGACAATGCCTATTAAAATTCAGTTGTATTTATATAGAGCCAAATCTTAGCAATGGTCACCTCAGTGAACTTAACATATAACTGGTAGTTCTTTGTCAGCATGAAAGGGATTTGTTTGACAGCAGTCACTGACCAACATTCAGAACAGTGGAAAAGTCCAAGGAACTCGGGACGATCTAAGCTGGAGAAAGGTAGATTGACATAAAATAGGAAGATCTCCGGAGACACCCTCAAGGCTGGAACGCCAGCATCGCTGTCCACAGAGAATCGGCACGTTCCAGCTTGACTGAAATTTGCAGCTGCCCACATGGAGAAGCCAAATGCTTTCTGGAGAAACGTTTTCTCAGTCGAGACAAAGATGCAGTCTTTTGATGCTGTGTGGATCATAGAAAATCCCAAAAAAACTTCAAGCTTTTGCACCCAATTCTTGTTTGTTAAAGGCAATGAAAAAGAACAGTTCAAATCAATCTTTAAATGCCCAAAATTACCATGATTTTCATGCCCGTGATGAATGTACAGCTGTAACCTACAGAATGCTTCTCCTGCTCTCACCTGCATCCACCAGAAGGATCTGGGAGGATGATTTACTCATCACTGTCCAGTTTTATGAGCAGCATAACTGCAGGGAGTGGTGAGCTCTGAGATCCCTTCATCACTCCTTGTATATCAGAGTCTGCAGCTCATCGAATCGCTCTCAGCACATTTATATAAGTGTTTAAAACTAGTTAAATGAATGCTTTTGTTATATACAGGGATGAGATGAGTGTCTCATTACCACTGTATTTTGGTTGGCCCACTGCTGCAGCAGCTTTATTGATTGTGATTGACCATTTCCTTTTAAACATCATTACCCTAAACAAGATCATCGCCATGATGATGATGGTGATTTAAACTCTAAAATCAGCCTGATTGAAACATAAAAGCACCAGCGTTCATCTACGTCACGTCCCACCTGACTCTGGCGTGGTACATCCCCTGCCAGTATTTGGACGGATCTGTATCGATGCATCTGTTTCCAATTGAGCTGTAAGAGAAACTTGCTGCTTGCTTGCTTTTTGATTTCTTTTTATGAGCTGGTGCCAGAGAGACGGCAGGTTCGAAGCTCCTACCATTTCAGTTAATTTAACATGCTGGTCACTGATAATGAGCTTCGATTTGCCTGCAAAATAGTGCAGAATAGACACATACAAGGGATCACACCAGAGAAACGGGCATTTAATGACCAGAAAATGAACTGTAGACTTTAATTCTAAGCACGGAGACCTCGTTACTGATTATTTCATGGCTTAGATGCAAAAAGTGACTCATTTTGGACAATACACGAGTCCCTCAGAGTAATTATGCATTACCTTTCTAAAGGATTTTGGCTAATACATGGTTGTAGCTTGGTTTACCTCTGCATATATAAGCTGGTGTGGATGATTGATGTTGGAGGCATATATAGTGTTGGATGGTAACTGAGTAGGAAAGCCGCATTAATTTAAATCAATATTTATTCATTTGAGCCACATTTCACATCACGTGGAAGCACTTTCAACTTCTCCTGTCTTATAAATGATGTGAAGTGGGTAGGGAGAGGTCTATGGTGTCGGCACAAGACCCAAAATATGATAACTTCAGGAGACTGGCTGGTTATTGATCGGCGGACAGAAAAGCTTGTGCAACAGGCTGACAGGTTAGACAATGGTTTAAGATAAATTGATCGTTTTTACTGTACTATTAACAAAGTGCCTGACTTTTTTAAAGAATACTCCATCCTGGCTGTGCTTTCTTTGGTCACAAATAGAAACTGACTGACATACATCTCACTCAGTCATAACTGTGGAGGACCAAAACTGCCAACGATTTGATGAGGTCCCAGTAGGCAAAAGAGCGAATTACTGCGGCCGTGTGCAATGAACATGCGATCATGTTTTCTTTGACATCACAAGCGCTGAAGCTTGAGACCAGGTCTGCAACAGCTTCATTCGTATTGTCTTCAAAGTGACTTTGGTGCTAAAATGACAATAAGATGGATTCAGTCTGCCATCAACTTAGAACTAAATCAAGTTTTGATACTATGGTGATAAACAGCAATAAATCACTGAAAATACCACATCTGTTGAAACTCTATTGACATGCACATTTTAAACATCTAAGCATTTTTACTTTAAATGGAAATTTGCATTAACTATTTACAATCAGTCCAGACACAACCTCATAGATTTGAAAGAGAAATGTAGAAATTTCTCCTGAAAATACTCACATAGGTCCTGGAGAACAGTGATTTAAAATTGCATGGGTGCGGTGCCGCTTTGGTTTCACTGCTGGCAATTGATTGAAAAAATGCAAATATAACTAATGCAATCAGTAATTATAAATCAAGCAGTAATTGATTAAAAAATATGATGGAAGATAAAATACAAAAGTACTGTGCAAAAGTTTTAGGCAGGTGAGAAAAAAATGCTGTAAACAAAGAATGCTTTCAGAAATATAAAAGATTGTTTATTGGCCCCAAATGTATTCTGCAGCAGGATAATGACCCCAAACATACAGACAAAGTCATTAAGAACTATTGTCAGTGTAAAGAAGAACAAGAAGTACTGGAAGTGACGGTATGGCCCCCACAGAGCCCTGATCTCAACATCGTGGAGTGTGTCTGGGATTACATGAAGAGACAGAAGATCTGTGGTTAGTTCTCCAAGATGTTTGGGACAACCTACCAGCCAAGTTCCTTCAAAAACTGTGTGCAAGTGTACCTGGAAGGATTGATGCTGCTTTAAAGGCAAAGGCTGGTCACACCAAATACTGAATTGATTCAGATTTCACTTTTGTTCTTTCACTGCATTTTGTTGAATGATGAGAATGAATGATTATCACTTCCATTTTTCAAAGGATTCTTTGTTTACAGCATCTTTTTTTCCTCACCTGTCAAAAACTTTTGCACAGTACTGTAAATACTTTTTTAAAAACCAAGTTCTGTGTTT